GCCTCCCTGGCCACCAAGGCCTCCTCACAGTAGCCACAGAGCCCAGGACCCAGAGGGGCGGTGCAGAGCGTGGAACACACCCACTGGGCCAACAGCTCCAAACGGGAACACTACTAAGAATTCCCAGTGATCTGATGCTTCTCTGTTTTAATTTTTTACCTGATCTTCTGATGTTAGGATCGGAATGAGGGGAGGGGGGGAGACGGAGCAGAACACCGAGTGGTCCAGCCTCAAGGATGCCGCCTGACTCCTGCTGTGCAGGTCTCCTCACTGAGTTTACACACGCTTGTGTTCTCAACACTAGGTCTGAATGTGAAGTGGGGTGTGTGCATGTATGTGTGGTTGTCATGCAAGTGTGTGTGTGCATGTCTGTCTGTCTTCATGGCTGCTGTGGGCCAGGCTTCCGGGCACCTTGGAAGGAGGCACACATCTGGCCAGGCTGTTGCAGCTCAGCAGGCGAAAGGACAAATGTTTTCCCCATTCCCCCTGTTCCACATCTGCCCACACCCAGACCTCATCGTCCCTCTTTTCCCAGATGTGGTCTCCTCCAAAGCTAATCCTTGCCCCTGTGCAGCTGACCCTTCTCCAAAGCCAGGGAGGCAGTTGACCCCTTGGGAGCTATATACTGGGGGTCTGAGTTGTGGGAAGGGGAAAGAAGCTTCCTGTGGGCAGAGCTGAAAGCCCCCAGCTAGCTGTCGCCAGTCTTCCCTGGCGACATGGGATACACCAAGCCACTGTGCTCTCAACCCTGTCTCTACTGCTCACTGGGACCCAAGAGAGAGGTCACCTGGCTAGGAGTCCAGGTGTCTGTCAGGGTCCAGGATTTGTGCTGGGACTTTGAACAAATCATTCCATGAGTCTTAAGGCCTCCACACCTCCTCATCTCTTCAGGGTGGCTCCTGAGACAGAGAACTGAAGAGCTGAACTAGCCCACAGGAATGCCTGCTTCTCCGTGCCATTGTCTGGGTACCTCTTTTCAGTTGAGAGGAGACTGCTGATAGGGCTGCTCCTGTACACACACACACCAGCCCCTCCCAGTACAGCCCTGCTGTGCTCATGGCAAGTCCCTTGCACCAAGCACTAGGCAAGCCACCAAGGCACCACTTCAGACTCACTCTGTCCCCACAGCAGCTGGCAGGCCACCCACTGGCCCCAAAGCCCACAGGAAAGGACACCGGGGTAGCCTTGGATGAGCAGCCCAGGACCCCCAAGGGTGATCTTGTGTTTTGAGATATCAGCTCTTTTTGTAAAGAGAACTAGGCCTTTGGATTGCCCTTAGTTCCGATAAGATGGAGGACACTAGAGGACGCACTGAGCAGCCCTGGGGAGGCCACACTAAGTAGGGCCCTGGTGAGGCATCCTTTGGGCAAGGAGGGGCTGGTTGGCTTCCTTGGAAACAGAACCCCAGGACTAACCACGTTTACAGGACCTGAGTGTTGAACCTGATGATGTCTTTATGTCACCTTCCCTGGCCTGCCCCTGAACATGGGGTGGGAAGTGTGGCCAGCTCTCACACTGCTTTGTCTCCAGAATAAACTACTGAGATCAAACTACATTTCATACGTCGTCCCAGTCATTAAAGGAAGACAACACTGGCTTTTCAGAATAGAATTCCCAGCCTCTGCCTTGTCAACAGGCAGGGTGTGGGTAGGTGTCCCATGCCCTGGAGCTCCTTCCTCCCCAGGGTCACACACGGTAGCAACCAGACCCAGGTATCAAGTAACTGCCACCTGTCAATGTGGCATTTTCCGCATGTGGGTCCTGGGGGCAGTTGCACTTCTCCAGAAGTAGAAACGGGAGATTCTTGCAGATAATGCTACAGAAATGGGACTTCCACAAACGTGACAGCTCAAGGCACTATCTGCTGTTGACTGTCCTCACCAAGGGAGGTGAGTGGGGTCTGCTCTGGGTCTAGGTCATTGTTGGTATCACAGAAGTGTCTAAGTTTGCCTCGTACTGTGGGTAGGCTAGCTAGCCTGCAGAATTGGACCCACTCAATCCTCAGATTAGCTAGGGGGCCAGCCCCATGAGCCCCATCAGTGGAGGGAAACACCCTGAGTGAGCCTCTCTGAGGCTGCTAAGTAGGCTTCACAGCAAGTCAAAAGGCCAGTAGGTGGATGGGGGCTCTGAACAGAGGGCTCCGTGGTTGAGAGTGCTTGCTTGCTATGCCATCATGACTACTGGAGTTCAGAGCTCAGCACCTGTGTAAGCAGCCAGGCATCCAGCACTCTACAACTCCAACTCAAGAGTATGCTTTTAGAGATGGGGATCACTGGGTCTTGCAGGCTTCGAGCCTAGCCAAGGAAATAATTTACAGGTGCCCATCTACACACACACTTTTTTTTTTTTTTTTGGCCACAGCAAGAAGCTTGAGTTTTTAACAGCTGGGACAAGCAAGTAGTCTGTTGGGCAGGCATTACAAGGGACAAGAGGACACTCGTTCTGACCTGAAGGCTGGCCCATCTTTGCACACTGGGTAGCCTTGCTGATGTCCTGGGAGGGGTTGCCTGGCTTTTTATATCCCCTGTAAGTCAGTCACTTAACCAGTGGGATCCCTACAGCATCCCCCACCCCAACTTGTGGCCCATTGCCCCTGTCACATCAGAGCCCTCTAGCTGGTCTGAAAGAGCCTGCCTCATCCAGTGGGAACTTCTGGGGTTGGGGCCCCAATTGAGATTGGCCTACTATGGCTGCACTGCCCAGCCAAGTATAACTCAGATGATGGCTCCAAGGCCTCTCCCCGCATGGTAAAGGCCTATGCCTCAACCCCTTTTCTTTGCCAGGCCAGTGCCAGGGCTCTGTACGGACGACTGACTACCATGGCAGTATGGCCCCTCCTGTGTGGGTCCTCTTCCCTCAGTTTGTGACTAGGAGCTTCCTCCCCAAATACAGTCTTTTTCAGAAATGGTTGAGTCTTCTCTTATTCCCCGGTCTAAAGGGGCTTGGCATCTTGGAGAGGCCCCTGCAGGACATGAGGTGATAGCTTCCTGACGCTCCCGGCATAGACCACTCACCCAAGGTTATGTAGAGCCGTCCTACCTGAGGAGCTAAGCAGTGTCCACGCCTAAGCTTTGTGATGGCTCCTGCTTGTCCTGCCCCTCCCCATGTATGTTAGACACATCTGTATACCAAATACACTTCAACCTGTGCTGTCTACAAAGCCATACTCTGTCCGTCGGATCCTGCCCAGGCTCTGCCTTTGCTTGTGCTATGACAGCACTTGGGGCCTTTGGTGACAAGGTGTCCCTGTGTCCTGATACCACTTAGTCTTGAAGGTGAATGTGTTTGGTGTCTGGTAGTCTAGTGGGAGTTTGTGTCGCTACATAACTGTCCCGAGGTGTATAAGGCTGAGGGAAACCATGTCTCAGAAGTGTCCTTACCTCAGGTGCACGGTGTCCCTCCGCCTCAGGTGCAGACTATGGTAGCACCGAGAAGCTAGGCTTCACTTGAAAAATTCAGGCTAAGACCTCCCACCTCTGTCCTACTGCGTCTCGCACTGCTGTAGAAGTTTTTGGTCTGTGCTGTCTGACACAGTCAGGCCTTACCACAAAAACCAATATTGCCGTATTGGCTTGGGAGGGCCAGAAAGGTCGGCCAAGTACTCTAGGTAGTGAATGGGTGGGTCAAGGCAGGGTTTGGACCCTTGGGACCTGGCTCTCACATACCAGCTGGAGCTCTAGAGTTGGCTCTGCCTGGGGTAACAGCGATGTCCTTGTCCCTCAGTCACAATGCGCAGGCTCTTGCTTTCCCTAGCAGGAGAACCTCACGCATGCATTGCTGAGGCTAAGCCCAGTCCCTGTGTGTTCACCCCTGGGAGTCCCTCTCCAGCTGGCTTTTAGCTGGGGTGCACAGGAGGAGAACTTGAAGAGATACCGCTCCCACCTGAAGCTGGCGGCGGCAGAGCCACCCACAAGCCCAATCAGAGGCTGCATTGAGTGTAGGAGGGTCTGACGCACCCCATGAGGCAGCGCGTTTCCAAAGCCAGGGTTTCATCCCAGGTTTTGTGTGCAGGCGTACGAGGCCGCATACAAATGTTTGATGAGTGACTGAATGATTGGCCCTAGTAGCCAGCATCCATGGGTCCAGTACCACATCCCAGCCTGGCATGATTACAGAACCTGTAAAAAGTCCCATGCCTAAAAGTCTGGTGTGCGGGCTCTACCTGTGATTTCAATGTGCCACTTCATCTTTCCTGCCTGTTTCCCTATTCTCAAAACTGTAACTAAGACCTATTGTTTTCTAATAAGCTGTCCCTGCCCCATACCGCAGACACCCCATGGTCCCAGACCTGTGGTTGTGGGCACTGTGGCCTTGGGCAGCACAATAGCCATGGTGGGGAGTCCAACACCGACGAGGTGCCTATGGCCAGTGGGAGGCATTATCCTGGGGTCTTTCAACCTCTACCTAGCACCAAGGTATCTACAGGACAGTCCTGAAGGATGATCTCAGCAGAAACTGCCTAGCTCAGGCATGGCCGGGAGATGGTGATGGTCATCTCCATACCCCACCCTGGGCAGTTCAGCACCTCCATCTACAGATGAAACCGAGGGCCAGTGATACAGTCACCTGCCCCGTAAATGGCCCAGCACAGAAACCTACCCAGTCCTACCCAACTCTGAGTGGAACAGGATAAAAAAATAAGTCAAAGAAAAGGAAGGAGCCCAAAGCAGGTTTATTCTTCCTTCTATGAATTTTATCTAGAATATCTTATAATCAGGAGTTCTTGACTTTCACCCAAATGTCAGAAGTTATTGCCGTTGTGCCCCATGGGTAAGGTGGAAGAGAAACTTCTAGAAAGCTGCCTGTGTTCAGAGAAGGTATCTGTGTTGATAGTCAGGGCTGTCCTGCAGAAGTGTCCAGGGCAGGGGCTGAAAACAGGGAGTGAGAGGCAAGAGGGCAACCAGGGCTCTGGTGGCTCGAGGCAGCCTCCCTACTAGGAGCAGCGTTCAAGCCATGGGACCAGGGTCGCAGGTGCCTCGAAGCCATGGCTGGCTCCACCGGCCAGTGCCTCAGCCCCGCCGCAATGCCTGCAGCTGGTGAGCCACCTTCTCCAGCTCTGCCTCGATGGCTGACAGGCTCTCTAGCTCCTGGTCCTAGGAGGGAACAGACAGGGTCAATTGGGGCTAGACCGTGTTGAAATCATGGATGGCACCAAACTGGCTCTGCTGTTTGCTAGCAGCTTAGTCTTAGACAAGTGGCTTTGCGTCTGAGCCCCAAGTTTTCAACACAGGCACAATGATGCCACCCAGCAATGCTGGGGTGCTTGGGGACCATTATACCCAAGGCACTCATGGCCTCTTATGCAGCCCTCACTTCATCCTATGGGACTCTGGGCCAGTAGGAACCTGTTCCTTCACGGTATATGGTTCCTTTTAGGATGATTCTTCAGTCTGGACACCAGTGCTGGCTCCCCTAGTGCAGCCTTGATCTGTCTCCTACAGCTCTGAACCTGCTGGACCAATGGGCAGAGCATCGTCACCATGGACCTGCTCAGGGCTGGGCTCTGACATTGATCCTGAACCTTGGATATCCCACACTCTGATCAGGACAGATGGGAAGCAGGAGCCTCCTCCTCTGAGCCCCCAAGGCTGGAGTTTACTGCCCTGCCAAGGCAATGTCCACAGGACACTGACAGTGACTGCCCTGGAAATAGGGCTTCTAGATCCTATCTTAGAGTAGCCCATGGAGTGTGAGTTCTGTGCTGCTGAAGTTTCTAACAACATGACCCCCCATCTCACCCTGTCTGTAACCTGGGAAGAAGCTCTTATGGGTGGGCAATGGGGCTCTTAAAACCGCCCATCTTGTTCTGGGACCAGGGCTGGGGGCAAAGAACACAATGGAGTTCATTTCACTCTTCCCCACCTACTAGGAGAGATGCTTCCTGCCAACGGCCGCTTCTAAGAGGAGCCTATTGCTCCCAGATGTCAACGGGACCCTACGTCTGGTCAGATGGGCGGGACCTAACGAAGGCTTCTGGGTGGGCAGAAAAGAGCCTTGAGGTCAGGCCTGTGGGGAGAGCAGGCTCCCTATAGAACCCCAGCTCCCTCTGGAGCACTGGGTTAGCCCGGTCCCACTAAGGCCTCCTCCAGCTCGGGAGGCACCCTGCCTGTCAAGAAGCCCAGCTCTCCCGTGCCACATTCCTCGTGTCCCCATACCACCCTTGCACCTGCCCCAGTGGCCTTGTGTAGATCAGGGGTTTTGAAGGTTGTGTTGTGGTGATAATGAGGTGAATTTCTCAAATGGGGGAATGAATGAGACTCTGAGACGGTCAGTGACTGCCCAAGGTTGCACAGCCAGGACCAGGTGAAACCAAGTTTACCGGCACCTCCGTACCTCCCTGTCTGCTCATCAAGGTCCAGCTAGCCCTGCCCCCGTTATGCCATTGTGGGCCATTTGTGAGTTTGAACCCAGGAGGAGGTGCAGTTGTGTTGCCTGGGAACCAGGAGGACATGGCCACCAACCAGACCTTCCCATAGCATCCCTTCCCAGTTCCCAGGGCTGCAGGTGCCTTGCAAGGCCCCACGCCAGTCCTGCCAAGCTCCCCATCCGAAGCACCAGGCCTCGCCCCCATCACTCCCATGTCCAGCTTACACACCAGCAGAGGCAATGTCCCCATCCCGTGTCCCTGAGGCAGGTCTGAGGCCTCCAGGCCCCAGCCATTCCCATTCCCTCTGTCCACCTGGCCCAGCAGCTCTATTGAGCACCTGCTGTCAACCCAAGCCCTTCCGAGTTCCTCTGCAGGCCCAGCTAAGGGAACCATGTCCCCTCAGTGGGGCAGGGGCTGCTGGGGTGGCTGTCCTTGGCTTGTACCAACCTCTGCTCTGCGGTTGGCGCTGCCTTCCTCCTCCTTTTTTTCCTCAAAGTCGCCTCGGGCCTCCACACTGTCTTCTCGGGAAGATGGCCTCCAGCCCCGGCGCAGCTGAGGCCTGGGGTCCCTGAAGCCGTAGGCCCGGGCCCGGAAGGAGAGCTTCATGGAGCGGTCAGGGTCATCGTCCCCCTGCAGCCGCTTCTCTGCTGTCAGCTCCTTGGCCAACTGGTCCATCCTGCTCCAACGCTTGTCCCCCCATTCTCTGGACAGCCGCTCCTCTTCCTCCTGCTTACGCTCCAGCTCCTGGCTCTTCCCACCTGGGAAGAGACCTTGGGGGGCCCCTGCCGTGTCTTCCCCGGTTTCCTCTTGCTGAGAGAGCCCCAGCTCCCCCTCGGGTGGCAGAGCTTCAGAAACCTGGGTTTTTCTACCTCCGTCCACTGCCTGAGACTCCGACTGACCTGGAGCAGGGGGTGGCAAGAACAGGAAGTGAGTGAGGAAAGGCTGCAGTTTCCCCAGACCCTGCTACTCCCCAAGATTCTCTGCGTGGCCACTTCTAAGGCCAAGCTCACCAATGAGGATCCAGCCAGCCCCTCCATAGCAGCCCCGCCTGGAGCACAGAGCAATCTTCACACTGTGCTTTTCGGGAAGTGAGTTGGCAGAGCCCCTCACTGACCCTCACCCTGTCTTCTCCACACACCTCCCCGAAGCCCCTCCCCCCTCCCCTCCTCCCTCCCAGGTGCAGAAGGGTGATCATTGCTTCATTTAGGAGTCAGGCAAACTGGAGCTGGAATCATAGCTTTGATCACCAATTAGCTGTGTAGCCTTAGGCAAATTACATAAGCTCTCCGAGCCTGATGTTCCCTGGATGGTGGAGACGACACCCGTCTTTCAGGGTTGCTATGGAGGTGGCATAAGGCCACCCCTCTCCCAGACACATCGGTTGAGGTCCTGTCAGCATACATACCCTCATCTTTCTGGATCTCCTCGTATTCGGGTCGGGAGCTGGATGTTGCAGTGGGGACTTCTTCAGGCCCGGCCTTCTGTCTAACCTCCTCTTCTTCCTCCTCTGGCTTGGCTTTTCCAGCTTGCTGCCGGGTGCCCAGGCCTCTCTCGCTGTCCTCCGCAAGCTCTTGGTTGGGGAGGTTGGCCAGCAGCTGGGTATTGGTGGCTGTGTCCTCCCTAGGGGCCTCACTGTTCCCCGTCATAGAGGACTTCTGCCCAGGCTCTGGAACGGCCTTAGGCCTGGGTCCCTCAGTGGCTGTCTCAGAGCCATCCTGTTGTGCCTCGTCAGAACCCTCTCTCTTCTCTACAGCTTCCTTAGGGGGAGCCTCTGCTGTGGCATCTGTGAATACAAAAGCAGGGAGTCAAGCTGAGCACCCAGCTGCCCTCAGGGACTCCTGAGGCCAAGTTCAAGTCTGTCATGGGATGTCTTAACTTCCAGGAAGCCCACCCTAGGAGAAGGGTTAGGGTCAGCCTTTCATATTTCATTTCGGAGCTTGACCTGAGGTCAATTGAATTGGGCTTCTTTCATTCTGCTTCTCAAAACAGGGCGTAATTTGAAAGCAAAAATAGAACCCCAAATAAAAATTAACATAATTTAAGATGACCCCAGAAGATAGAGCCCTGAACTGTAAACCAGGACAGCGCTGACTGCTGTGCGATCTGGCCAAATTGTTTAACCTTTCTGTGTTCGAGACACTCCCTGCATGTCTTGAGCGCTGTGGGATTAGTACTTACAAAGCTCCACTGAGAGATGTTTCCTTGAAGACAGGCTTTTAAGAGTGAAAATCCCTCCTGTTTGTGGACTGACAGCTGCTGAACAAAACGCCACCAGGCACACGCTACTGTCAACAGAGTACTCAGTCCACAGGACCCAAAACAATGTTCAGGAAGGTGGGACACCTGTCATCCCTCAGACTCTGGAGGCCCACCTTGCTCATGCCTCCCGATGCCAAGTTCAGGGTCTCTTTGCACTAAAGCCTGTAGCTTTGTAGACACACACACACACACACACACACACACTACACTTTCCCTTCTCAGCACCCTGTGATCTAGACACTGGTTCCCATGGGAGCGCGATGTGGGAGTCTGTGCAGCATGATAAGCAGCCACCAGGGTGACAGCTGATGTGGAGGGTGCCTGACACACCTGTATGTGTCCCTATTTGGCTCAGAAGATGACCATGGGCCAACTGCTGGGAACTGGCCTTTCTGTCCACTTTGGACATAAAAATCCCAGGTCTCTAGTTTGCTGCACTTCCAGGGTAGGAAGCTGGACGGCACTGCTCAAGGATGACCTCTTCAGCTTCAGGGCCGATGACCCAGGGCATTTTGTGTTTAGAACCTACTTCTCTGGACCCTCTTTCAACACCTTCAACTAAGTCCCAGGACAGTAGCAGGAGACAGGGGCTGCATGGCAGGGCCAAGAGGTTGGCCCAGCGTTACCACTGCCTCTAGAGCAGGGGACTGGTGTGGGGACAAGTCAGGGACTTTGGATAAGTCAGAGCCAGGTTCAAATCCCCAGTTATATGAACCCTGTGCAAGGAGGCCTCTGTTCCCCCCATGTCAAGGGAAGGGAACGGTAGCTGTCTCCTGCTCTGAAGAAGCAGCGACCCCTAGGGACCACTGTTCTCCTTGCAGGCTCCACCTCTCCTAGCCGGCCACACTGACCTCCATGCTTGGCCTCAGAGCTCTGGCTCTCAGACACTTTTGAGAGCTCATCCTCGAAGCTGCTGTGTGGCTGTGGCTGCTCCTGCTGCTCTGGCTGCTGCTGGGCCCGCTCCTTGGCACCTGGTGGGAGGGAACAAGGGAAGGTCCCATGTGGTCAAGCCCTGATGAGTCTGCCCATCAGGCCACACACTCTGACTCAGTACCTGCTCCTGTACCTCTGAGAGCAATAAAGGCACAAATGTGATGGAAGGTTCCCCAGGGTAGCAGGAGCACTGAGAAACTCGGGACCCCATAACCCCACAGCAGCCCTGGCCTCCCCACGGGTGCTCTTCATTCAAGAGCCCCCAGTGTTCTGGAGCCCCATGTTTGGACCCCAGAGAAGGTGGGCGCTGTGATTACCTTTGAGTCCAGGGCTGTGCCTACCCCATGGCCCAGAGTCCCTTTGCCTACATAGCCCCTGCTGCTGCTGCTGATGCCACCCTGAGTATCCTGTAGCTGTGTCTGCATCAGGACACAGCTCTGTAGCTGTGGGATCAATGCAGGCTAGGAAGTTTGCCCAACCCAGCTGTAATGGGCTCCAGGCCTACCCTGGCCGTGCCCATGTCACTCTGACCTTGGACAACATGGGCTCCCCAAGGTTCAGACATTTAATAGACAGACTCATGCTAGATGTCCAGGCCGAGGTTCCCATGCAAGGATTTTATCCAGAATCCAAGAGGGGATGGATGGAGTGATGGCCATGATGGCTGAAGACACATCCAGTGCCCTCGTGATGGAAAACAACCCCATCCGTGTGTATCAGACGCTGGTTATTCTTAGATATATATGTGTAAGGTTATAGAGTAGGACACATTTCTCTCTAACAGCCTATTGAAATACTTAATTCTTTAAATGGAATATTCGTCCAATATTTAATTTTAAAATTATAATTAAAATATCTAATGGTTTATTAAAAAGCACCACCCTGGAGACCTGGACTGCCTGAGCTCCAGCCCTGCTTCAACCCTGGCTACCTCCTGAGGGAAGAGTCATGCTTCATGTGTAGGACCTTGTGCATGACCTGGCATGGCGGGTGTGGTGGCACAAGCTTGCAATCCCAGCACTCCAAAGGCTGAGGCAGGACTGCACGTGCAAGGGCAGCGTGAGCTACACAGTGAGACCCTGCTTCAAAACAAAGAGACAAAATTGATTCTAACTACCGAAGCATCAGCTGCCATCCCCCGCATGCCAGGCATGGATTCTGGGGCTGGGACTGTTCAGTTGGTGGAATGTTTCCTTAGCATGCATGAAGCCCTAGGTTACATCTACAGCACTACATAAACCAGCATGGTAGCCCACTCCTGGAATCCTAGCACTCTGGAGGGGGAAGATTGGAGGATATGAAGTTCAAGGACATCCTGAGTTACACAGTAAGGTTCAAGTCAGCCTGGGCTACCTGAGATCCTGTCTCAGAAAAGGAAACCATGGGACAGACCTGCAAGTGAGTGAAAAAGGTCAAGCTACATCAGGGAAGGAGGGTTGCTAGGGTTATTTGTTTGTTTGTTTGCTTTTGAGACAGGATTTCTCTGTGTAGTCCCTACTGTCCTGGACCAGGCTGGCTTCAAACTCTCAGAGATCCGCCTGCCTCTGCCTCCTGAGTGCTGGGACTAAAGGCGTGAGCCACCACTAGGGCTAATTTTTGTTCACTTTTCACCCAAATCTCTCTCCATTTCCACATATGGCTTGCGCTGCCCTAAAGGCCTCAGGGTGGACTTGGTTTGAGTTTACAAAGGTGACAGACAGATTCATGCACGAGGCACTGAGTCCTACCCCACAAGCATGGCTACTTCCCTCAGGAGGCAGCCAGGGCAGAAGCAGAGCTAGAGCCCAGGCCCTCCAGGTTTCCGGGGAGGGTGCTTCACTCCTCCTCAAGGCAGGAAGAGGCTGGGGGGTGGTGATGTGACAAGATCCTAACTCTCCATGGTGGTCCACTGCCCAACTCACATACCCTCAGTGCTGTGAGCTCTCGGCCTCAAAACCCTGTCTGAAACATGTCTGGATTTTCTTAGTCTCTTGGAAAAAGTCCCCTTCCAGTCCAAGTCTGGTCTGTGTTTTGGGACAAGCAAGGCCTTGCCTCTCCTATTATCTATGGAGCAAAGATTCACAGGGAAACGAGAATCTTCTTTCTGTGTGTGTTCACTTTTGGGCCTGCAGAGAGGAATCCATATGGCCTCTTTGGATGACTGCCCTACCAGAGGCCAAAGAGTGTCCCCAGAATGGTTTCTGCTCTTAATAAGGTCTATTCACTGTGTGACCTTGGGGAAATCGCTCAGCCTCTCTGAGCAGTCTGGACAATGGAGTGAAGTGTCATGAAGGACCCCACCTTTCTGCTCTGTTGCTGGCTTCCCCCCAGAATGGCGTGCAGTACTAAAATACCTTGGAGAGCCAAGTCTTGGAGTTCCTTCAGCAAATTCTGGTGTCGCAGGATGGAGAGGACCCTCTCATCTGCAGGGAGAGAGCACAGTTACCGGTGGCTTCCAGCGGACAGCCCCAGGAGAGGTTAGTGTGGACATTTTCTGCTGAGCTCAGGCATCTACTCTGGAGACTCAGCACCGGGAGGCAGTGGCAAGCCTGCATCTTGGTAGAACATTTCGGAAATTCCTCATTTCCAAGACACCAAATCACCTCCCTACTACAGCAGAAAGGTCGCCTGCTGACTCTGTGCACAGCCCCCAAGGAAGGGGCTGTGGCCCTCAGACTCAGTGAGTGTGTGTGTAAATACTTCTCCTCCGTGCTGCCTGCCCTGTCGGCTCCTCCTGGCATCCTTCCTCATTTTCTACCTATCCATCATCAGTGCTGTCATGTGGTAGACAAACCGGACCGCCAGTGTGGAAAGATGTGGTCTTTCTCAGGCCCACTCAACACCCTCAGATTCGTCCCAGATCCAGAGAATGGCTACTGATGTCAGCGGAACTCCAAATGCTGGGAATACAACACACTGAACCCTGGTCCACAGGATGCCCAGTCTGTGGCTTGCTGTTCCCTTCATTCTGTCCAGGCTATGGTTAACTGCATATGTCCCCTCTGAGAGTCTACATGCCTCAGGATCAGTCCCAGGAGCTGTCACCTCTTCATGTGTGCTCCCCAGCTTCCAGCACAGATCAGAGCACTGGAGCAATGACTGCTGGGTGGGATGCTTAACCCTGCCAAGAGCCACCCACCCACATCCTGGCCTCCCAGTCCCTCCAGTTCTGGCTCCTACCTCCTTGGAGAGTCTCCAGACACTCAGGACTGACAGGCATGGGGCTGGGTTTGGACAGCGAGTCAGAGATGACCTCCAGGACACACTTCATCACCTGGAAGACAGTAAGGCAGGCTGAGGCTGGTACAAACATGGAGCTTAGCCTCCTTTCCCAGGAGGGTGGGAGAGCATTTATGTTGTCTACAAGAGGCCCCAGGGTCCACCTCTGCTTCCTTAACCAGATCTCTTGGAGCCATAGAAACAGAACACACACACACACACACACACACACACACACACACACGGTCAAACTAATCACATAGTCATACCAGCATGTGCCTCAAGGGCACCACTGCTGAGGGAGAGGGAGGAGTATGTGTTTGCCATCTTCTTATTCTTTGGGTAGCTCTCTAAGGATGGTGCTGACTCTGAGACCTAAAAGGACCCCTTGGGGTCCAGCAGATTCCAAAGGATCTGCTCAGCCAAGATATTTTCCAGGCTGTCCAGTGAAGAATACAAACCCTCCTAGGCTTGAACTTGCCAGAAACAGGGCCACCTCCCATTATGCAGCCACAGGGGGGGCTCCACATTGTTCCATGAGAAGAACCCCCTGACTGGATGTGGGATACCAACTAGTTACATTTTCATGCCCATTCCAGACCAAGACATATCTCCGAATGTTTCGTTCAGTCCAGCGAGGTGCAGCAGGTTGGGAAGCACCTGGCAGATAGCTGGTCTTTGAAGACAGTATTCATTTGTGCTATGCTAGCTGTGTGATCTTGAGCAAGTGACTTAGTGTCTCTGAGTCTTGGTTTCCTCATACATAAAACAGGGACGAGAATACCCACTCAATGGAAAGCACTTCATCCCGTGTGAAGTGCCACACACGCTCAGGGAGGGAATCACAACATCAGAACCTGTTTCCACAGCCTGCAGCTGGGTGGAGGAGCAGGAGGTGCTAGACATTCGTCAGGCAACACTGGCATGGAGCGAAGGTGTGGGAGGCTGTGTCTATGGGATGTGGAGACAGCCAACCCATGGTTCCAAGATAGCAAGCTGGCAAATCTGTCAGGGTGTGTAGTCATAACCTCTGAGGGAACGTGCAGGTCATCCCCAGCTGCTGGCACCTCTGACCCCAGCTACTCTATACTATGACGGTGGGAGCAGACCTGGCAAGCAGCTCCTAGAAGCGTGTACCCTTTCTCCCCAACACCAGACTTTGCATGGAGAATACCAGGCAACCATCAGCGTTTGAGGGCAGACACAAGGGGACAGGAGTTGGGTGGAGGCTCAAGAATACTGGAAAGTTGGACGTTGTGTTGCATATCTCTGATGCCAGCCCCCAGGAAGCAGAGGCAGGTGCATCTCTCTCAGTTTGAGGACAGCCTGGTCTACATAATGAGTTCCAGGACAGCCAGGGCTACATAGAGAAACCCAGAAGAAAGAGAGAGAGAGAGAGAAAGGAGGAACCCAGAAGAAAGAAAGAGAGAGAGAGAGAAAGAGAGAGAGAGAAAGGAGGAACCCAGAAGAAAGAAAGAGAGAGAGAGAGAGAGAGAGAAAGGAGAAACCCAGAAGAAAGAAAGAGAGAGAGAGAGAGAGAAAGAGAGAGAGAGAGAGAGAGAGAGAGAAAGGAGGAACCCAGAAGAAAGAAAGAGAGAGAGAGAGAGAGAGAGAGAAAGGAGAAACCCAGAAGAAAGAAAGAGAGAGAGAGAGAGAGAAAGAGAGAGAGAGAGAGAGAGAGAGAAAGGAGGAACCCAGAAGAAAGAAAGAGAGAGAGAGAGAGAGAAAGGAGAAACCCAGAAGAAAGAGAGAGAGAGAGAGAGAGAGAGAGAGAGAGAGAGAGAGAGAGAGAGGAGGAAGGAAGGGAAAAGAAAAGAAAAAGAAGGAAGGACAAAGAGAAAAGAATAATGGGGAGATAAAAAGGAAGGCTCTAGGAAAATCACCGAGGGCCTCCTAGGTGCCTGTAGCTTCACCCATGAACCCTACTCTTTCTTCATAGGGATAAAGAGACTCTTAAAGAAGTTGGATTTTCCAAGTTTGCACAGCTAGAACGAGTGGTGAAAAGTTAAACACTGGCCTGTGTACAGTTGGCAACAAATAAACAAGACAAGACAATTGAACAAATACACGGTGAGCTCTCTGATGCCTTTGGTTTTTAACTGTGTCTCTCACAGAGAACAGCCCACAGAAAATGGAGAACAGGACTCTGTGATGCTCAGATGGAGTCATCCAGATCCTCTGAGAACAGCCCTGGTTCTGATGGGAACGGAGTCCGAGGATTTGGTTCGGCTTGTTTCTCACTACCAGAGGTAACCCTGGGCAGAGGCAGGAGGCGAGGTGGGAGGGAGAGGGGGAGGGCAGAGCCAGGCAGGGCCATGGACACCTAGGACAGGAGAAGCTATGGTCCTGGCTCAGACCAGTGTCCCTGGTCCCGGGTCCCAGCAGGTGAGACATGGACCCTTGGGAAGTCACTGCAGCTGGACAGCAGGGGAAGCAAGAGGTCTTTGACGTCTTCTTGTGTAAGCTGTCCTCAGCTCAGTGGCTGCAGTGCTGGCTTTGGCTCGATGCCAGGCTTGCTCCTGCAGCTGCCCAAGGACTGGCCAGGAGGTGCCCACAGGCATCCTCCCTCTCCCAAGGTACCCCCAAGCCCCTTCTTACCTTAGTGTCCCCTTTTGTCATGGGGCTGTTCACAGGGAGGGCAAAGACTGTAAAGAGGGAGACAGAGTTAGAGAGACTGCTACCTGGGGTTATTTCTCCACACCCAGGGAAGCCCAGTTCTTCCCTACGGGGGTGGGGGCACTCACTCCTCCAGTGCTCATCCTCAAACTGATCCCCATCCAAAACCCAAATAAGTCACCAGCACTGATTCCTGCTGCCCCAGGGGGCGGCCCTCAGAGGCTGCACTGAGGAGCCTCAACCCTTCCCCACGGGAGGAAGGTACGTGCAGAGCTGAAATCAAGTTCAGTGTGAACAAGACCAGCCATGTTGTGGGACTGGGGTAGGCGAGAAACCCCAAAGGTGGTGGCAACGAGGTGGAGTGAGGGAAGAGATCAAGGGCAGACTGGAGAGTGGAAGGACAGGAGAGGGGTTGGGGAGCCAGCAGCAGTCCCCTATCCCCCCCCCCACAGTGACCTTGGTCCGTGCAGAGCCTGGAATCGGTGGGTGATGCGTTGGGGGGCTAGGGGAAGCTGTCCCCAGAGGCTGGATCAGGCTCCACAGTTCCTCCGGGTGTGGTGGACGACCACAGGCCACCACACCGGTCTAGCTGTTAGACTCTAACCCGAGACCTGGGTGCTGTCCGTGGTGCTGAATCCTCGGGCGCCGAAAGGGACCTGGGGCAGAAAGGGGACCCGCGGCAGAGCCCAAAGCCGCTTACCTTGCCCGGCGCACAGCAGAAGCGCCAGGACCGCGGCGGAGCGCATGGCAGGCTGGGTGGTGCGGGAAGGGTGGACGAACTGCGACAGGAGGATGGCAGGATTGGGTGTATGGTGTGTCCTCTCGAGCTCCTTCCCCAGCAGGGTCACTGCGGTAGCGGCGGTTGTGGCAGCAGCAGTAACGGCAGCAACGCTAAGCCCTCTTTTATATATATACACACACACACACACACACACTCACTCACACACGCACACGCACATGCACACACCCAGGAAATTACGTCATAGGACCGCCCTCTGCGCCCTTTCTCCACCTTCGGGTCCCGCCCCACCTCCACCCCTCACCTAAAGCTTCTTCACCCTGCACCTAGCTGGTGGCAGTTAAGAGTACGGGGCTTCTGAAGAGGACCCAGCTGAACTTCCCTGTCAATTTGCTGTGTATCTGTGATGTCTCTGAACTACTGTCTCTGAACCTCGAATTCCTCCCCCATTCTGCCGAGTTTTCCTCTACTTAGATGCTTTTGATTTCACTGGCTGGAGCCACGCTCACTTGCAGAACTCCCTGGAATATCCAGTGGGTCCCACTAAAACCTCCTGACCCCTGCCTGAGTGAGGCCTCTATTTCCAGCAACCTAGTTTTGTGCCCCACATTCTGGCACTGTGTGTATTTATTTGTTATTTGATAGTGGTTAGGGGTCACCGCTTCCACAGTGCTGGAAGCGCCTTCACTCACAGCCAGAGCCTTCACACAAGTTCAGTGTAGGGAGTGCCTCCCACAGCTGCCTCATTTAGGTCTTGAGAGCTGTGATCCAAGCTGTGACCCCAGGTTCAGGCCACACTGCCTCTTATTCCAAGGTTCCTCACGCTACTCAGGGCTCTCCTTTTCCCACAGCCCACAGCCTTCTAACTTACAATCTAAAGTGTTTTGTTGTTATGGCTCATTGCTCGTTGTCTGTTTCTTCAGGTTAGTAAAGCTCCAAGAAGGCAGAGTGCTGACCTTCCACATTATCGTAATCCAGGCATTGGGCATAGCACACACAGTAGGTGTTTAATGAATGTTTGATGAATAATGAATGTCTCTTTGACTCAGTTCCAAGTAACCCTAGTAGAACTAATGAAAAAGAGTTTGTGCTCATAATGAGCCCCTGCCAGGCCACTGAGCCTTTTCGGGACAGGTGGCAGAATCCCACGCTCCAGCACCATCACCCAAAATCTCAGGAAGCAGGCATCCCTGCTCACACAGGAAGACCCAAGGACTTGGCTCTAATTCTATCCCACTGTGGATATGCAATGTGACTTGAGCCATGGAACTATCCATTTCTGAGTCTCAATAATTTCCTCTTTTGGGGCATGAGATTGCCTTTTGCTCTCTTTGTCTAAAATCAGCAGACATCTACACTTGCATCCCAAATATCCAGGTATTGAGAATACTTAAGAAGAGGCAAGGGTGGTTGGAGGCAGAGGTGTCCCTGGGCTGCTGGACTAGGACTGATCACTTCCGTTTTAGCTTGACGGTGAAAACTGCCTCCCACAGCTGCCTCATTTGCCTCTTGAGAGCTGTGACCCAAGCTATGACCCCAGGTTCAGCCCACATGGGAACTAAGAAAGAGAGATGTATAGCGCATGGAAGAACATTCTAGGGAGAATGCACAGCTAGTGCAAAGGCCCAGGGGTGAGATAGAGAAGGTGAGGTAGAGGAGAGAAAGCCAATGTGACTAGAAGGGGTGAGCCTAGCAGTTGGTGGCAGATGGGGGACGGTGTTGAGCAAGGGTCATGTCGAAACTCGTGGGCCTCTGTATGGACTTTGGCTTTTGGTCTAAGGGAGAGAAAGT